TTCACATCTTGTATCTTTCTTCAAAGGCAATGGGTTGGATTACGCATTCAAATATTTGAAGCCAGATTGTTGTGGGAGGGTTTATGTTGAAAATCCTCCATATTGTGTAAAAAGTTGCTGTGTCTCAGCATCTGGTTGTTGACTCCATCGTGACCATGGGCCTTTCGTGGCCTAATTGCCTGGAGTTTGTCTTATAGCTCCTGTTCAGTAATCAGGGAGTCCAAGGATTTTGGTTGTCTTTAATAGCCAGTTCCAAAATTTTGAGTTCTTCATATATGACGTGATGTTTTGGTCTGATTTATTTGTACTAGGGACCCTTTGATAAGCTTTTTAAAATATGTTTGCCAGATTGTTCCACTTTGGATGGCCAGGTCTTCTGGATTTGACTTAAAGTGTTCAATGTCTCTCAGAAGTAGTTTTCCTCATTTTCTGCAAGTTGTTTGTTTATGTATGAGTTTCTTTTCTTTTTGAGTGTATATTTAAAATATTATACCATCTTTCATTAACTGTGGTGCAGAACTGGATGTGGTTACCTGCATTTTTGAATTGAGAGGTTGCTTTCCTAATATTCCTAACTTTCCTAATATTTGTGAACTCCATATTGTTGGATAAATGTTTCCCTGCTTCCCTTTAAAAGACAGTCAGGAATCTGTCTCAGAACTAAAAAAAAGTTGTCATTTCATGCGCATGGTAGCGAAACACAGAGATGCTTGGTGTATTTTTCTCAAGGTAATGTAACTAAAACAGTCTTTAAATATTTTTCTATCTATCATGCTTCCCTGTGCTTACAAGATTGGCAGTGTTCCAAATTCACACACATCTTCCTACCTTCCTATTTGCTAAAGAACTTATTTTAATACAACTGGTTACTTACGTTCGTAGCACACATTCCTATATAACAGAATAGAATTACATACTCTAGTCTCCCTTGTGTCTAACAGTCTTCCAATCCAGTTCACACTAGTTCTGAATGTCCACCTTATAAAATATTGCATCTTCTGCAGGAAAAGTGTGTACAAAGTTCAAAGAGACCCTCTCAACAATATCAAACCATTTTTTCTTTCACTTTTGTTTTTTTATAGTGTATTGATTTTCATCTTTTTAGCTTTGTTCTTTATGCTAATTTAGGAAATAGATGATTTAGTTTTTGTTCAGCCACATTTATGCCTATTTTGTTGGTTTGATACTGAGGTTTATGGAATGTGTTCAGTAGTGTCTGAATTTCTTAATTCCCTAGTCCAGTCTGATATCTGTTCAGGCTGTCACTGTCCCATTTGTATTGCTGTTCAGCTGTCTGGGCTGTGTCAGAGTGTCTCTGTGCAGGTGCTCTCTCTTAATGTAGAGGTTGATCTAGCTGTACTAAGAGGAAAGAGTTTGTGGCATAGTACACTACTGATATAATGACACTGCTACCCAGAGATGAGCTATAGGTGAACCTGCCCCAAGAGTCCACTCTGATCCTGCCATTGATGATGTACAGTACAGGCCCAGCTCTTGACAGATCTGCAGCAGCTCCTGCTTTAGTGTTGCTGACATATGTGTCATGGCTGCACCTGTGTGATGTGACCAGTGTGTTGTACAGGGGGCATAGTGCATAGTATTTCCTGTGTGCTGGTGACATCTACTAGTGTGCTTATTCATGTGTTGAGGTCTCCACACAACAGCACCTTAACCTGGTTCTGGAAGTGACAGATCTCGGTGTGCAGACTGAAGAATTTCCTCTCTGTAATTTGGGGATTCACTGGAGGAATATAAATTGCAAACAATTGCATGTTTTGAGCCAGAGATGTGACTCCCCCATCTTAAGAGGCTGTAGAGAGTCACTGAGCTCCTCTGTGTACCTCTGTCTCTGGAGAGTGCCCTGGATAACAAAGGGTTCTCTCTTTATTCTATATTCATAATAAATTCAAGGTCTATGCTCTTCAACCTGAATTACTAGGAGCCCAGACCCTGAATGTTCAACATACTGATGGTAAGAAATCTCAATTTAGCTTTAAAACTTTAGATTAGATTATTATTTTCTTGAATGACAGCAAATTGATCTAGAGCATTGGTTCTCAAACTTTTTCGATGTCGAAGCTAATGTCACGGATCCCCAGCAACTTTTGTTTTCACAGTTACGGCGGTGTTCTCCAAAAAGCATTCTAGGACTGCTATTCAGAGGCAATTATAGTTAATTATTAAGGAAGAAACTATTGATTGCTTTTGTTTTCATTTTAAGCATTGTATCAGCCCATTGGGTTTATTTCAGTCATTTATTTATTACATGAGGCTAGCAGCCATATCACCCTGCACAACTGGCAACCCACTGAGCTAAGCAGGGCTGAGCCTGATCAGTACCTGATTGGAAGACCTGCTGAAAAAAAACTGTGGTTTCTGCTAGAAGTGGTGTTAGTGGAACCAGCGGGGGGTGCCCACCCTGCAGTCTGTGGGGGTCCTTATGCCCCTGTATAGTGGCGGGGACACTATACTGTAGTGGGCTCTGTCTTTCAGATAAGGCGTTAAATTGACGTCGTGACTCTCAGTGGTCATTAAAGATCCACAGGCATTTCTCGATAAAAGTAGGGAGTTATCCCAGTGTCTGGGCCAAATTTCCCCCCTCAGCCCTTATTGTGGCCTCCATGTTGCCCCCATTTATGATTAGCTTGCATTTCCCCTTCGATGGACTGATGCCCTGTCCAGGTTGTACCCTGCCTTGTGCTCGATGCTTGCCGGGTAGGCTCCGGCTTCACTGTGACCCTCACCAGGAAAATTGGAAGGTAAAATGGATGGATTAATAACATGATAACTTGTCTGCGATTAGCACCCCTACAGTTCAATAAAGCTTAATCACTGGAATACTCGTTGAGAATAAAAGAATCAAAGTTCTAACTGCAGATTCGACCAAATTAGAAGAAAACCAGAGGGGTTTCCTTCTGGTTTGAAAACTTTAAATTTTTTACATTGTTAACAAAGGAAAAAAACGAATAGATTTATAGAACCAGACAATGCTTTCTGTGGTCTTACCGGGTGCAAATAGGGAAAGTTGGTAGCAAAATGACTAAGTAAAACACAGTGAGACAATACATTTGTTTTTTTTAAAAAGAGTACTGATAGTTTTTACTTCAAACCAGCAGAAACAGAACAATCTCAGTGTGATGAGTGAGTTTGCCTTGTACTTCTACATTTTTTTTTCATATTTGGAGTTATGGATGTGAGTTGTGACTGCATCCAATCTGTTGTGATACTTCATTTTTGTGGACACGTATGATAAAAATCCGATTTCACACAAGTAGGTGGTCACAAATGGGAGAAGAACAGAAAGACCTTTCTCTGATAATACTGGATATTCATTTTTGGTGCTGCACCAAAACTCTGCCAACTGCACTTCATTAAAAGCTGTTTGTAAGGAAGAGTCTGAAATCGAGTCAATGAACTTCTTGTAATGTGAAGTCTGTTTTTCACATTTTCTTTCTTTTTCTTTTCTCTCGTGGTTGCTGTAATTTCTAAGCGATCTTTCTACCTAGTAACATGCTATTTTCTCTCATTGCAAGAGTTTTTGAGATTTGCCGGATGGCGAAATGGCTAAAATTTTTATCTCCAAACAAGATAAAAAAGCAGTTGTAAGAGGAAATTTAATCTGACACCTCCGAGGTACCTTCTGGCTCCAGCAGCCAAAGTAAAGAAATGTATTCAGAGAATGAATCTGAAGAGGACGTTTCAGAAGATATGCCTAATTTTTCTGACTTCTTCGAGCCATGTAAAGCCATCGTAACTCACGTTTTTTATTGTTAGCAAATTTTTATTTTTCTTGTAACATATATGAGAGCTCACAGAACCCCTGCAGATGTCCCATGGAACCCCAAGGGTTCCATAGAACACAGTTTGAGAACTACTAGTCTAGAGTATTAATCCTATCATCAAGAGATTTTAACCTCAGTACAGATTTTGCTTATGTATGATTTTGTTATGTGGCATAATGACCTTAAAATCAAGCCCAGCAGTCTATAGCAAAGTTACACATATTTCATCACCTAACTCTATTGAATATTCCCAATTTAATAACCTACAGTATACATGTGCTGTACT